ATGGCTGTGAATAGACCTGGGCGTCGCGCTGTTGACGTTGTCAACCCAGAACGCCTGACTGGTCGTCACTTCATGGACTGTATCCCACCAACCGAAAAATGTCAGCACCTACAAGGATGTGTGTGGTTTGTTGCTCAAAGCGAGATGGCAATGGACAGAGAATACGAGAGGAAACCAGGTTCCATTGTCCTGATTGTGACGTCGGACTTGGTGCAGGGCCATGTTTCAAAATTTTTCACACCCAGGACTTTTATTGAATGCGCCCTTGATGTTGCACCCTTTTTGAAAACTTGCAGTGTTTTTGATTTGATTACATTATTGAAAAAATTATATTATTTTAATATTTACTATAATTTATGATTTTGTGTATTACAGTTTATCATACCTGGAAAAAAAGGGTAAATAAAACACCCTCCACCTCGAGTGTAGCCTGTTTTTATTTCTGTTCTCTGTCTAAAACATCCCCAGCCCCTCTTCTAGCTAACTCTAGCAAGTTTTTTTTATGTAAATCATTTTATTGGGGGCTCATACAACTCTAATCACAATCCACACATCCATCCATTATATCAAGCCCATTTGTACATTTAAGCCTGGTCTAGCGCCCTTCTTTTTCTGCAAGTCTCCATAAGCTTCCCATTCTGATCTCCAAGGCCTGCCTCTGGTAGCAAGCACCCTGCGCAGGGCTCTCCCACACCATGTGTCCTACTCTGCCATGATCTAGCAACCTCCAAGCTGGGACCTGACCTGCTCAGCGTTGTATCGCCAACGCTGCACATGGATTTGCACCTACCTCCTGGTGCTGTTCTAAAGGCTGCAGTGTAGGAAGTCACGCAACCCTTGAATCACACACAATTGTTGGAGCAGAGAGGCATTCACTCAACAAAGGAGCGCTGGGTGTCTACTCCATGCCAGATGTGGTTTTTAACGCTGAAGATCCAACAGTGAACAAGATGAACAAAGTTCTGATTTCAAGATGAGGCAGAAGGGCAATAAACAGATACGCAGGTAGGCGATGATGAGGTAGTGTGAGGAACTAAAGACACATGTAAGCTGGACGAAGAGATGCAAGGTGACAGCGATGCCACCTTGGATGGGTGGCCAGGCTAGGCTTTCTGAGGCGGAGTCATTTGAGTGGAAGCATGAAAAATGTGAGAAGGTGAGGCACACGCGATGGGCGTGTGGGTGTGAGCATGTGCATGACGAGGCCCCGAGACAAGGGCATTCAGAGCAAGGAGGCCCATGTGGAGGACTGGCCCACCGGAGGGGCAGAGCGGGAGGGCATGAGTCACAGGAGGGCAGGGGCTCAGGCAGGTAGAGCCTTCTCAGAGGAGCCAAAAGATGCTGGCATTTATTCCAGCGTGGTGGGAATTCACAAGTGGGTATAAAGTTTGACAAGACACAATTTAACTATCTTTTAAATGGTCACTGTAGATGCAAACTGCCCCCAAATGAGGGGAACGGAGAACTATAGCCCATGGATCGATAATGGTGACTGGGACCAGGAGGTCACCTTGGTGGCAGGAAGAAATGATCAGTCCATGAATGCATCTTAAAATCAGAGCATTTACAAGCAGGATTTGCTGTTGGATCGGCTAGTGAGTCCGAGAGAAAGGGAGGAATCCTGGGTGTCTCCAAGGTTCCTGGCCATCTGGTGGGATGACAGTGGTTTGAGGGGTGGGGCACAGTTCAGAGGAAGGGCTGGGAAGGAAGAGTGTTTTGTTTGGTTTGGTTTTCTCTCCAGCCTGTCAATCTGAGTTGGCACCAGGCTTCAGTTTTGTCTCCTACGAAATGAAAATGATGATCTCTGCCTGGCACATTCCTCATGAGAATGAAATGTGATGACTGTCTCTGGAAGGTGGGAGATGGAAGGTCTCATTCTTCTTCACATTAAAGCGAGGGGTAGGGTTCCCAAGAAAAGACTACGAACACCACTCCTGGTTATGGGTGAGATGTTGCTGGACTCCTACCATTGTCTCTGGCCACAAGAAATGAGGTTGGCAACAGAAACGACGCTCTCCAGAGTGATTTATTTAATACTCGCATGGGCCTGTCCCTGGGTGGCGCAACAGTGAACCCACAGCTGCTACTCCCCACGTGGATCAGGCAATCTCCTGAACAGGCAGCCCCTGAAACCCCTAGGGATCACAGTTCTACTCTGCCACTTGAGGGTAACCGTTTGCTTGTTTGTTTTGTTAATTCACCTAGCATTGACTGTTTGCCGCGCACTGTTCTCAGGACTTTATAAACATCAACTCATGAAATCCTACTCGGAGAAACTACATTGGAGCCCTGGTGATGGACGTAGTGGGTTATGCCCTGAGCTGCTAGCAAACCACAGGGTCTGCATATGAACCCAACAGCTGCTCTGGACAGGAAAGAGGAATCTACTCCTATATAGATATACAGCCTTGGAAATCCAAGGGGGTACTTCTACTCTGTCCTATAGGGTCACTATGAGTCAGAATCAAATTGATGGCAGTGTGTGAAACTATTACTACCCTCTTTTACAGATGAGGCGCCCTGGTGGGATAGTGGTTACACGCTGGGCTGTTAACCGCAAGGCCAGCAGAAACCACCAACCCCTGCTCAAGAGAAAGATGAGACTTTCTACTCCAGTAAGGAGTTACAGTCTCAGAAACCCACAGGGCCAGTTCTAGCCTGTCTTGTAGGGTTACTATCAGTTAGAACTGACTTGATGACAGTGAGTTTGGGAGTCTTTTTTTAAAAAAATAAAAAACCAGATGAAACCGAGGTGCAGTGAAGTGAAACCCCGTGGTAATAAATGGCAGCGTCAGCCATGCTCAAGGGCTCTGGCTCTGCCCCACGTGCTCACACCCTGGGCCAAGCAGCACTTCTCTGGCACCTCCTGCCCCTGTTGGCAACCGGCATGCTCCTGGCCTTGCAAAACGTCTGCTTAGAAGCCTGTCAATGTTGACAGCCACACTCCCTTCTGTCTCTTGGCCCTCCTCGTGCCCTGCTAACGCCACCCCCTCTACCCAACCCCAGCACTCAAATCCTCAGTGCTTTCTTCTCCAGACCTGAGGTCAGCCTCCTCCTCCCATTGCTACACACAAGCTTTTATGGCACGCGGCTTTCGCCATGCGCCCTGCCTCTCTGCCAGTTGTTTTAAACTCTTGCCGGATCACGTTTTCCACTCCTGTTGAAAACAGCAGACCACGTGCCACCCTGGGCTGAGAGCTTAAGAGAGGGACTTGAGGGGGCATCTGTTCTCCCCAGAGACCTTGTTCTAGCGTTGGGCCTCTGGGCCCCCCAGCACCAAGTGGGCAGTGTGAAAACTATGACGATTCCTTCACCTATTTGGCAAATATTGGCTGAGGCAGGAGATGGTGAAAAAACAGAAAGCATCGGGCGAGGCCCGGGGAAGGGAGCTGGGGTGAGGTGGGGGAGCAAGGGGGCTGGGGGACGCGGGAAGTGGTAGCGCCAGGAGCTAGTGCGAGAGACGGAGGCGGGCGTGGCGTCTGGCCAGGGCGACACGTCCTGGAGGAGCCAGACGTGCCCGCGGTCGTTCTGCGCCTCTCTGCGGGCGCCGGCTGCGGACCGCGGCGGGGAGCGGAGCCTGGGGACCAGGCTGCCGGGAGGGACTCGCTAGCCCCGGCGTGGGGTGGCGGCGGGGGCTCAGGAGACAGCACCCAAACTCTGGAGCCGCCTTCCGTAGCCTGTTGCCTACCTGGGGTGTGACCTTGTGCAAGTCCCTTAACCTCTCCGGGACTCCTTCACGCCGTCGGTAAAATGGCTTTTAATCGCTTTAGGGTTATCTGGGAGGATTCAAGGGGACATGCCTGGCAGGCTTATGCAACATGCCGCGGGCCACGTAGGAAACGCTCGCGGAGCCCAGGCTGCGGGGTTCGCGGCTCGCACCTCGCCGGGTCCCCAGCGTACCCCCAGGTCGGTGCCCAGCTGCTCTCCGCCCAGGGACCCGACGAGGAACCTCGGAGAGCGAGCCTAGCCTTTCCATGCATGTGCTTTCGCGGGGCGGGTTTGGAGGAGGACCCGGAGGAGAAGTGGGCCGGGGAAAAAGGGAAGGAGCGGAGTGAAGGCGTGCGCGGCGGGGGAGGAGGCGGAGTCGGGCGAGGCTCCCGGGGTTGGGGGCCAGAGGGCGGGGTTGACAGTGTTGGGGGC